GCCTCTTCGAACTTACTCGTGACCGAATAACCGGAGAACCACAAACATCATTCACTACGAACCATGGTACTCATTCCATGACATCTCTTCTCAATATGCCCCGGTGTATGGTACCCTAACCATAACATCACTCCCCAATCCGCTCCGATGTATGGTACCCGGACCATAACATCACTCCTCAATCTGCTCTGATGTATGGTACCCGAACCATAACATCACTCCTCAATCTGCCTGATGTATGGTACCCGAACCATAACATCACTCCTCAATCGCTCCGATGTATGGTACCGAACCATAACATCACTCCTCAATCTGCTCTGATGTATGGTACCCGAACCATAACATCACTCCTCAATCTGCCTGATGTATGGTACCCGAACCATAACATCACTCCTCAATCTGCCCTGATGTATGGTACCCGAACCATAACATCACTCCTCAATCGCTCTGATGTATGGTACTCAACCATAACATCACTCCTCAATCTGCTCTGATGTATGGTACCCGAACCATAACATCACTCCTCAATCTGCTCTGATGTATGGTACTCGAACCATAACATCACTCCTCAATCTGCTCTGATGTATGGTACTCGAACCATAACATCACTCCTCAATCCGCTCCTTAGAACCTTCAGAATACTCCCTGTATCAAGTATGGGTCCTCTGCTTTCAGTAGTACGGGCCCATACTACCTGCCACATCTACCCATACTTTCCACACGGACCATCCCAGAGCTTCTAAATAGCTGCTCGACCTGCTCTTTCACCAATCCCATCGCGCGTGCTCGCTCCCCAGCGAAATTCTCTATTCTACAAGCGCACTCATCTGGATAGGGTTACTCCCTAGGCTCTTCCGTTGTCCTCCCACTTCTTTGCTATCAGCTGCTGAAGAGCTCCTAATGATGCCAGCCATCTACCTCCTGAATATCGTCATATTCACTTGGTAGCTGACTCCCATCATCGAGAGTTCCACAAAGCACAAAGCAAGCAGCATTCGAGCATCGAAGAATACATAGGACTCCCTCTCTGTGATAACTCCACCTTCTCGGCTCATCCTCGAAAGTACCACCGAACTCTGTAACTCTACCCCTCATGGGTTCTAACTGGATACTCTCACTCATCACATACTCAAAAGCATAACACATATAACAACGAGTCCTAGGCTAAGGCATCACAAATCAGGCCACTCTAGTCCTAACATATGAAATACCTAGCCTGTCTCTAGCATGCAATAATATCTCATAAAGTGCATCATAAATATCTCATAACACAAAATAAGGGTATTTTGGGAAATCACCGTTCGGGCTCTGGCTGATTGTACACACTGCTCTTTCTTGCCTTCTCTTTGAACTCTTATTCACTTTTAGAAAATTATTTCTTAAAACTTTTCTTACTTCCTCAGTTTGAGTCCAGATTTACCCGAAGGCGCATCCGAATCCCTCAAACCAAGGCTCTGATACCAACTTGTAACACCGTAAATTTCAAGACAAAATTTTCATTTAAAATAATCATTTTATTCTTAGAAACACTTGTTTAAAATCTCATTCATAGTCGATTTACAAAACATGACTCCATTTTCACTTGCATAGAAAACCAGGATCCTCCAAAATATGACTCTTTCTCTGGTGTGTACAATCAAGCCGGTGCCGTCCCGTGATACTGAAAGAAACCTGAAAAACATCACACAAAACACTGTAAGCACGAAGCTTAGTGAGTTCCCCAAAATACCACACATAACACATATTAGCCACTCGAGGCTATAACTCTATGGGTCCGTGCACCCAAACTCTGTGAACCCTCAGGTTCTAACTCTGGGAACCTTCCGGTTCCAACTCTATAAACATGCACAACATAAATCACATAGAAATAATGCAGTACAACACATCACGTACATATAGCATACAAATACTCTGATCACATAACTCTGGTTACCTACTCAAGGTAAAGTATAGTGAGAAGACTCACCTGGCAAGCAGAAAGCAGATATCCCCACACTTGAATCTCGAACTCGCCACCGCCTAACACGTAAGGCAAATACTCTCATGAATATAACTCTCGAGACTAGAATAAATCCTCTCATAACACCCTCTTATGGGTAAAAGACTATTTTACCTCTCTCTTGGCCCAAAGGCCACATCGCTGACCAAACCCTAAAAGTCAACGGCCAACCCTTGGTCGAAATCAAAGTCCTCAGTCTAAGTCAACCCCTGACTGACCCTACTCGCCGAGTCAACCCTGTGACTCGTCGAGTTCCCATAATCAGAACTTCACTCAATCTGCGACCTAACTCGCCGAGTCACCCCGAGACTCGCCGAGTCCAACAACTCTGAGTCCACTCGCACACGACTCACCGAGTCATCCCTCGACTCACCGATTCTCGACTCAACCAGAGAATATTTGGGACTCTTCGACAAGACTCGTCGAGTCCAAGAACAGACTCGCCGAGTCTACGGCTATCTTCAACCTACTCGCCGAGTTGTTCATACAACTCGCCGAGTTCCAGGCCATCTTCATCCAACTCGTCGAGTCCACCCATGTGACTCGCCGAGTACCACCGGTCTGAATTCATTCTGAAGCATTCCAGGCCATGCAACTGCTCCAAAACATAGATCTAGTCTCCTACCACTCATCCATCACGTAAAGTGGCAAACTTTACGTGAATCCAAAGAGATCTAAGCCGTTTGCACATTGGGCTAGGGTTTGGGACATGTAAGCTTCACTAAACACTCCAACACAGGGACTTTCATGCTCTCTGATTCTTCTCCCTTCCAGATCTGAGGTAGCAACCTCAGATCTAACCTCTAGACTTCCCATTTCATCCATAGACAATTTCTCACAAACCCCAAAATGAAGAAACAACATAACAACAGGTCAATAACGAGATATTACCTCTAAGTGATGCCCCAACTGCAATGCAATTCGAATCCAAGCAAAGCCCCTTGCTCCAAGCCTTCAATCTTCCCAAAATTCCTTCAACCATTACTTCTCCAAGCTCCAATCCACTCAACAATGGTGCTTCTCCGTGATTTAGGGTTTTCTGGGGCTCAAGGGGTGATAAAGAGGCTGGGAGGAAAACATAGTGATCTTTATATAAGGCTTAATCCCGAGAATTAGGGTTTTCTCCACTCAGCGCCTACTCGCCGAGTCCATTATACTGACTCGCCGAGTCGGCCACTTAACACGCGACCAAATCGCGACTCTACTCGCCGAGTCCGCACATGGACTCTCCGAGTCACTTTTTCCCTATTCACTCTTTTAGCCCTTCAACTCTACTCTTGATATTTCGGGATGTTACAATATATATATATATATATATATATATATATTATATATATATATTCTTAACACTCACAACATACATTCAACATGTCTGTAGGCTGTAGCACACAATATAACCAAACTATATGGGTCTTTTTTTCCTTAATATAGCTTTTATCTTTCTATTTTTCCATTATGGCATTTTATCTTTAAGCTGAATTTAGCAATCTGGAATCCAAGAAGCTTCTTTTCAGCTTGATAGGCTGCTAAACTTTTAAACTCCTCGTTGAAGCTAAGGCAATCATGTTGTCATCCTCAAATGGGAAGTTCATGCTGCAAGAGTCTCCTATGACGATGGAAATATAGAATCATCTCCATCCCATGTTTGGGATGCAAGGACACTACAAGAAAAGTCCTTATTAGTGACGACCTAAAATTTGGTCACTAAAAGCATCTTTTAGTCACCAAAAATTAAATGGTCACTGAATTTTGGTAATCCTACAAATTTAATGACTAATTGTATGTGGTTGTCACTAACTCGGTCACTAAACCACAAAAAAATTAAATTACTTTTATTTTATATCATAACAACTAGTTAGTGACTAAAAATAGTGGTCACTATGTTAACAATATAGTGACTAAGAATAATGGTCACTATGTTAGAAGCTTAGTGACAAAAAAAAATAGTCACTGTATTGAAGGTTTAGTAACCAAAAATAGTGATCAACCACATGCTTACTCTTTCATTATTGAAAACTACTTAAATGGAGAAAAACAATTAGTGACCACTCAATAGTGGTCACTAATGAATTACAATTAAAAAACAATTAGTGATCATAAAACAATGGTAACCGATTATATATATTATAATTTTTAATTAATAAAAATTAAAATATTTTTAATTAATATTTTTTATTTTTGAAAATGACAACAACTTTGTTTTTTTACACATAATTTTACAAAAACTTGTTACATTGACCGGTCTGTATCAAAAATATTTATTATGATAATATTTGGAAAAAATTGAAAAAAAAGAGAAACATGTTAGAAAAAAAAAGCCTTGGGTTGTATTTATGTTTTCAATCCGTACACATGGTGACGACATAATAGTTGTCAATACATGTAAAAAATTAGTGACTAGAAAATAGTGGTCACTAGTATAATCAGAAAAAGAATACAAATGATTTTTTTACACAGAGAAACAATGCGACAATAGAGTAATGGTCATTGGATATGAGTTAGAACTGTGGAAATTTTGTGGCCATAACATTACGGTAACCGGAAAATTACAAAAGAAAAAGAAATCATTGTTTTACAATTTTAAAGTCATAAACATCATTTTTATTTTTCATTAATTTCATCGATAAGAAAATTGCTTATAACTTATCAACGTAAAATTACAAAAATGCCTTTATTTTACTATTTTTGATTTAATTATATTATCCATAAGAAAAAATGACAGAAATATATGTGTTAAATTAGCTTTGTTTTTTTGGGTAAGATGGTATACTTTTCAAAGAGTGATTATATATTTGTTTCTTATACAAATTAAATAATCAGTCGTCAATTTATTTAATAAATATATTTTTATATAAAAGCCTTTTTCCAAGTAATAAAAAAAGATTACGAGTCGGACCTTTTTACGATCCATTAACCCATCGTCGCCATCATCTAAAAATTAGTCTGAAGGGTATAATTGTAAATAGGCAACTATAAAAGGACAACTTGAGGGCAGAATTATGTTATCTATCTACACCAAAATTCAATCTTTTCGCATTCTCTCAATACTAGATATCCATTGTTTTCTTTGAATCGATATCTTTGCTCTTTGAGAAATTTCGCTTGTTTTTTTGATTCGGAGGTTTTTTCAAAACGAATTTTCTAGGGTTTTTTTTTTTTGAGAATTCATCAGCTATGGTTTACGATTCGATCGCCAACGCTTCGATCCCGACTTCGGTTTCCAATCCGAAGGAAATTTGCAAGAAAAAGCGGGTACATTTATTGAGTTATATTCAATTGTTCGATTTTATGATGCGTATCGTTTGATTGATGGATAGTTGCGGCAGAAACGTGTTGATTTTTTCTTTTTGGGAAAACAGGAAGTTCTTCTTGTTTTTTGTTACGATCTAACCTGTTTTTTTTTCAATGTTGAAGGTGAATAGGACCGCCAAATTTAAGCAGAGCAAACTTCATGTTCGTCGTGAACAGTGACTTTCTCAAGGTGATTTTTCTCAGTTTTTTTGTGTTTGTATGTGAATTTTTGTATCATGTGTATTTGATCTGATATGTATTGTATGTAGATGTATTGCTCTTATGGTTAATCAAAAAAATCTTATAGGGAAGAACAAGGGGTTTAAGGAAGAAAACAAAGGCAATGTTCGTGCAACAATGCTAGGCATGCATACCCCAAACAAGGGAGATCGATCACTGGTAAAATTAGTGATTAATTCTGGTGGTGAAGAGAACGATGGTTTGATGAATCATTACAGAGATTCCAATAACCCTACTAGTCATATAAGCAGCTTGTTGATGCTGACATGGATTCACCTGGCACTGAAGAACGATACCCATGTGACACAATGAGCAACAACCATGAAGACTGTAGTACAAGTGGCAACAAGTGAGCAACAACCATGTTTTTTAATGCATTTAGCTTATGAACTTTTAGGTTAAATACAAGGATGTAAGGAGAGTCAATCAACTTCCAATTCCTATTACAATATTGAAATAAAGCATGCGTATCTTACTCCCTGGATACTTGGTTGTAATTAAGTTGAATGGAAATGTTATATGTAGGTGGTTAAAATCATGAAATACACTAGTTCTAGTAATGTTTTGTAAAGAAAATATGAGCAAGATAATAGAACACATTTATTGGAAGCTAATATGAGGTTTGATTGATTGTATTGGGTTTAGTTATTGTAATTTTATTCAAACATTATCACTAAAATAATTAAGTATTTTTTTTTTTTTTTTAATTTATAGCAATTACATCAACATTGTAAGTATCGTCTTTTCTTGTATTTTTCTGATTAGTAACCACTTTTTTTTGGTCTCTAATAGTAAATATTTAGTGACCACTTTTTGGTCACTATGGTCATTAATATGGTAATGAAAACAAGTGACATTTTTGTGGTCATTAAAAGTCGTCACTAAATGAATAAAACAGTGACGACTTTCTTCAATTAGTGACAATATTCAGTGACGAAACGGGTCGTCACAGATTTAGTGATGAGTATATTTTAGTCACTATTTAGTGATCATATTCAATTTTGGTCACAAAATCGATTTTGTGATGGACCTATAGTGACGAAAAGTGACGACTGTAAATTTCGTCACTAAATCATTTTGTGACGAATCGTTCTACTGTTAGTGACCATTTCGTTTTCGTCACTAATTGGCAATTTTTTTTGTAGTGGGATACGATTACGATGGGATGCGGGTGGTTGTGTTTTTTTTTGTTGAAAAGTCTATCCAATTGTAGGAATATCATATTTAGGGAGCTATTTATTTTTTTCTATTTATTTTTTTAAGTGCAATGTCCGGATAATTTTTTTTGAATGTATAATGTTATAGTTTGGTTGCTTTAGTGAACTATACCGACTTGTTAAGAAAGAAATTCAAATACAATACTATAAATGTAAATGTATAATGACATAATAAAGAAATAAATCAAAACTTGTTATTTGTTTATTTTCAAATGCAATATATGTCATTGACCTATTACCTTACTCTGTTAAGAAAATCCAACTCGAATGCACCATAAAAAAACAATAACTCTTTCGACCCATGTGGATAATGGCCTCATCACTGGTTGTTATTAAGCCAAGAATTTAGAGTCGACTCTCAAAATATCTTAACTACTTACCCCTTAATTTTTATTGATATTTGGAAACTTATTGGTCGACGGTGGAACTTGGATCCCGTTAACTTCAATTCGTATCGTATTAAGTGGGGAAATTTTGTTAAATTTAAATGTGGTGCAATGGAAATACGTCCACACAGTGATCATTACTATCATTACTATCATTCAGATAATATGTAAATTTTGAAACAACGTTGTCTTTGGAATTACTAAAGTTAGAAAAACAAATATATTTCACGACATTGTTCCACAACATTTTCTCTCTATTTTTAATATGCATAAGAATCATAACATGGATTGGATTAGTTGGTCTCACAACCATTCTCTAGTTATTACTTCCATATAATTTGGTTTTTGCAATCTTTTTGGTAATACGTTTTTTGTCAAAAAAATCAATTCTTATTGAGAATCTCACCAATCAATCTATCATTATTACTACATTAGGTGTAAGACCCGTGTACTACACGGGTTTTGATCAAGGTTTAAATATTAATCATTTAAGGTAAAATTTTGAATTAAATACAACTTAAATGACGAATATGTAAGTATTTCAATCTATAATTTTATATACTAATAAAGATAACTATTGAAAGAAATGAATGTAAAATACTATAATGAACAATTCAATAGACGTATGTGCAAACTCACTTATTTAGAAACCTGAATTGTCAAAAAGGTAAATAGAAAATTTTTAATGCCCATATATGATATATATGAAAAAAACAAAAAAGGAAATTATGTCCCTTTGCTATGATATTAATTAACTACTTTGAACTTATATTCATTTAAAATTGCCCAAATCATTTCAATTCCTTAAAATTAATCCCTATAAATTAGGAATCAATATTTTCAACTCTTATAAAACTTCCTTATTTAAAAAACCCAATGTGTAATTTTTCTAGATTATGTAAAAAGAAAACCTAAATTATAAGAAAATGACATGTGGTGAAATGTCTAAGAATATGACAAGTGACAAAAAAATCTTTATTTATTAAGAAGATTTGTTTATTGATTCAAAACTAATCATTCAAATTTAGGATTTTTTATTATTTTACCGTTGGAAAAATATTAAAGGATGGCATTTGTGAGGAATTTACTAGAAGGGTTGAATGTATCAGGTTGCAGATTGTTTGAGGACTGGGGCTCACTCTTACGCTAAATAGTGGAAAAGAAAAGAAAGGCGCGGATTTTGTATGATCCATGGGTAGTCGGTTTATCTCTCTTAATTTTCGGCTTGTTTTTCTCTCGTTGTGTGATCGAACCAATTAGGGTTTCTCTTGGTTGTTCCTGGATATTTTGAATTCACGAAGAAACAGAGAGGATGAAGAAGACTGCAATGGTGGAAACAGTAGAACGTTTGTATGCTGGAAAATGCAAGTAGGTACTCCTAACATTATCATGATTTGAGCAATTTAAACAGATTCGGGTAATTTTTTTTTCAGCGTCTGGAATACAGATCCTTTGGACGCCAGCGATTTCTAGGAGAAAGTAGACATCGCTGAACTTAAGAAAGAAGAAATCCTGCTGTGAGTCTTTTAAATAATTTTTTTTGTAAGCATAAAGCCTGGGAAAAAGCGTTTGAAAACCAATTCAATTACAGATAAATAAGGAGATGATCAGATGAATATCCACTAAGTACCAAAAAAGAAAAAAGAGACTGAATCATTTATTCTCCTGTTTTTCACTTTCTCAACTAGTTCATTTGCAATCATGGGATTCCAAGATATTCCATAGGAACGAAGGGCAAAATAGACAATATTCTGTCTCTGAATCGTCTTTCACATTTCCAAAGAAAATATGATCAATTACTTGTTATGTGTGAGGTTTTTTATTTTCTTTTTCATTTTTTCAGACTCACAAGACACCTTTTAAATTTCTATAGAAGTGGTGGGTATAGTTCAACAGTTGATAAATTTCTATAGAAGTGATGAGGCCATTATCCACATGGGTCGAAAGAGTGTCTTGATCTCAATTAAATCCCTAAACCACACTCTCCCTTTTGATGTTTTGTAGATAGGAGCTAAGATATGATTCAAGCGCTAAATCACTCCTTTTCTCTTTCTTCTGGAAGATTATCAGGTACACAAAACATCACGATTTTGGTTTTGGTTTTCTTTTATTCTTTGTTTTGTTACATACACATCAGTTTCTGTTACTTTTAGAACATAAAGTGAACCTGAAAACTCGAAGGCCTTAAGAAGGTTGGAGGCGATGACAATTTTGGTTCGGTAAGTAATTGCATTAAGGTGGAAGCATAGGTGCTTGAATCTCTCACAAAAAAGAAATCTCTGTTTTTTGCATGTTTTGGTTACAAATATATTACATGCATCGTAATAGCTTTAATTTTGTCCCCGTTTTCTAATAGCTACTAATATCATCTATTTCCTTTGTCGTTTTTTACTTTATAGTCTGAAAGAACTAAATACCAAAGAGATGGACCAAGAGAATGTTATTAATTGAAACCTGTTATGACTTGTTTCAACGATTAGTTTCAATTCATTGTTTATTTGTCTATCTTTAAATATGTTTACATGAAAAAAAGATGAAGTTAACACATTAAGATAAGAACACAATGTATCTTTAAATTTGTTTACATGAAAAAAAATATATATGAAATTAACACATTAACATTTTTAACTATTATTTACGAAAGGATCTTTAATAAACTCATTAGACACGACCTTCAATTAACACATTGACATTTCTTCATTGTTCATTCTTATAAAGTGCATTATCTTATATTTGCCCCTAAATGGCCTAGTTGACCGTTTGGCCCCTCTCGTTACCCCTACTTAGTTAAGAGTTTTATCAAAAAGTTTTCAATTTTCCCATATAATCCAATAGCATGCTACATCGTGAAGTTGAACAATTAAGTTTAAAAAAATTTCAGATTGTCTTTTTTCTAATTTGAACATAGTTTTCAAATTTCCAACTTAAAATATATATTTCAATGTACTCTCCCTAATTGAACAACATATTTTTCAGTATTTTTTTTTTATGAATATCGTTTTCTTACAACATCATACTTAAACAAAATAAAGTATGATTTCATGAAAATCATTTTCTATATCAACTCATTTGAATATCAAAGGTAGGTATTTAACAAATGATGGATTTCAGCTTTAATTTTCTTTTGTGCCTCCACATAAAAAGGGTATGCCTAAGAATGAAAACAGTAACATAACATCAGATTAAGGGAGCATCTCTCTGATTTGGACCATTTTACCCGTACATGTGGGCAGGTCATGTTGTGATATTGCTGTTTTTTTCAGTCTCCCGATTAGTGGAACATTTTGTCCCTAGGTGTTTGCTTTGGCTACTTCTGGTGCTAAGTGTTTGAGGTTTGGGTTCTCTTCTTACCTTCTTTTTCTAGTGGCCTCTTTGATGTCATGTTCTTCATTGTTTTCAATTGTTTTGGCCTTTGGTAATGGCAGTGGATTATAAAAAAAAACACAAGTTAAAACCTCAAAAGAAGAAGATATAAATCCAAATGAAAAAATAGGATCAAAATCATATGCATGTTAACAATCCCTCTCTTCAACTCCAAGATTAAACCCCACTTCCATCTCTCTTCTGATATACAGAGACAAATGAAAAAAAAAAAAATGAAGCAATAATCACCAACGTCGGTAAAGCTTTTCTTGGTTCGGCGACATAGCTACACTTGGGTCAACAATGAAGGAGTAGAGTGTAAGTAGGAGAGTGTTCTCTGGTAGCTGACAATGGTGGGTTTGATAGAGGTGAAGTTAGGTTAAAGGAATGGGGAGAAAGTATGTTCAAGAGAGAGAGAGAGAGAGAGAGAGAGAGAGAGAGAGAGAGTATTCTTTAGATGGATGGTGTAGTGGTGGATTTCATACGAAAAAGGAGGTAGTAATTTGAATCAGTCTCCGGGTTTGAATCATTCTCCCATGTTTTAAGCAAAATTAGGATAAAGCTGGTCAAGATAAGGCATTCAAAATCAAATTGGCAAAATAGAGTTCACGTATGTGTTATAATAGAGTTCACGTATGTGTTATAATTGTAGGAAATGTGAAAATTGTTAATATTTTATTTAGTTAAAGTTTCACTAAATGTTGTATTTAGTCTATGTTTCATTCTTATGTCTAAAATATCTTATGGGAAATAAAACCGAAACACACCTACTTATATTATTATGCGTAGATATGTTCCTTAGGCTTGAAAAATATATATCAATGATACACCAAGCAAGCAAAAAGCCAAGAATTTCAAGAATAAGTAGATCCGAGGAGTTTGTTATGTACACCCGTGTGTAAAAATTAGTCAAGAAGGTATGACAATATCTTCTTTAGTGGTGAATTTATTTCATTTCAAGTCATAATGTGATGGTGATTGTATTTCATGTTTGTAGTTAAAAAGGTGTTTTCAGATGTTGAAATTACAATTACATGGTGTAAGATGTTAATAAAATTTTGAAAAAAAGGTAAATATGTCATTAGGGATAGTTTTTGTAACAAAGCCCGAACATAGTGTAAAGGTCATTAGGTACCATTTCTTAATTTAGGGTCAGTGCCCATTAGGAGACATGCCACTCTGATCCGATAAAGCTAATAATATTTTTTTCTTTTTCAGAAATGCTCTC